CGGCTATCACAGCAAGATGATAAGAGAAGTCATCGAGATCCAAAAACTTCCGGAGAACTTTAACAAGGAGGAAGAGACTCTTAGAAAACTCAATCTGATCCTCAGGAACACTACACATAAATACAACTTGCGTACGAGAAGTCGCCAGGCTACATTCAGCATCGGAGATGGAAGAACCTCTGAAGAAGCTGGCCATTCGTGATAGCGAAACGTTAGGAAGCAACTCCAACTGACGACGGCCATTAGGCCCAAATCAGGGTAGCATCGGTTCACCTACTGGTCGCGAAAGCCTTTACCAATTTATCAAAATTTTAGAAAATTCTGGAAAATTCCAGGTTTCTGAGACGGCGATAATTGCGAAGAAAATTGAGCATACACGGAACACAAACTTGATTTATGGCAACTCGTGCTGGCGAAACGTTAGGAAGCAACTTCAACTGACGATGGCCATTAGGCCCAAATCAGGATAGCATCAGTTCACCTACTGGTCGCGAAAGCCCTTATCAATTTATCAAAAATTTAGAAAATTCTGGAAAATTGCAGGTTTCTGAGACGGCGATAATTGCGAAGAAAATTGAGCATACACGGAACACAAACTTGATTTACACATAAACGTATATGTGTACTGATTACCTGTCAATTGTAGAGCCACTTTTTTAGTTTTGCCTTTTGTCGATGAATTATTAGCGCCGTTTACGTAGTTTTTGATTTAGAGAGAGCTATTGTTCTTGATAGGGCGTTAAATTAAGAATTAATCCATTGTAGGGAGTAGCACCGCAACGTTGGCGTCGGATCTCTTCCATTTGCGGTGGAATCGGTATTCCAAGCCAGCTCGACCTCATCAGTGTGTATGTATAGTCGTCGTTGGCTCTGACCAATCCGTTCGTTCGTTAGTTCGTTCATTCGGTTTATTAGAGCTCAGGCTTATGGAAGATATATGGAAATTCGCAACTGTAACTCAGTTGAATAGCAATTAATTAATCAAACTTTCCGAACGGTTCTACCTACCCCCTGCTCCTCCTCGCTATTCGCATCCGGCTACGAGAGGGTCGCGTTCACACTGTTTATTAACAACTTAATTAATTACGACAAACTTTAATAGAGCAATCTCGTATATACGAATCCGACCATCTATGATGTTTTACGGAAACTTTATTTTTCCACCAAACATAACCGTGAGTACAAACCGTCAGTCACTTCAAATTTTATTGAACCGAGCATACGAGTTTAGTTTCGATGGCTACCTATTCAACTACAGCCAAAAATAAGTTGACTGGCAATCTAAGGCTCGGTAAAAATGCTACCACAAAAAATACCATTTCCTAAAAAAATGTTCAAAGTAACTGATATCGTTAGATTTATGTAAGGTCAAAATTAGTCAGGTATCATTTTTATCGAATAGGGTTTGTTAGGACAATGAGGCAAGTACTTAGGGAAATTAGAAAATTTAAAAGTAGAGATGGATAGATTAGAATTAGATATAGTAGGCATTAGTGTTGTCCGACTTCTGGAGTGGAGACTTACGAGGGTGGATTGATAAGTTTCCGGCCTAACCAAGAGACGACGCCACTAGGCCTACCTTGAGGTGACATTCTATAGTACCATCCTTGGATAGCTTGTAGCTATAGTTTCAGCCCGATCTCCTTGCTAGTGTAGGTTTGACAGCACG